GGGTGGTGATCCCCTGGGGCAGGTTGCCCCGAGAAGCTGTGGCTGCCCCATCCCTGGAGGTGTTCAAGGCCAGGTTGGACGGGGCTTGGAGCAACCTGGGCTGGTGGGAGGTGGCCCTGCCCAGGGCAGGGAGTGGGACTGGAAGAGCTTTAAGGTCCCTTCCAACCCAAACCATTCTGCAATTCTGTGATCAAAGTACATAAACCAGATTAAAATGACATTATCAGCTAGACCTGCACCTGCAGCCCATGGTACTGGGGTCATGCATGCTAAAACGAGCACAAGGGTCATGTAATAGTATGAGAGAAGGAGAAGAGTCAAAGACCTGAGCACAAAAAGGTTTCTTTCACACCTCACAGCTCATCATTCCTTTAAATCTTGTCTCAGCTCTCACCTTGTCAATCAAAGAGGCAAACTGGTTATTGAGGCTCCTCATCTGCTCTCTCTCCTGCTTTCGGACGTGCTGGATTTCGGGGTTGATCTTCACATCAAGAGGCTGTAGCAGGCTCTCGTTGACGTGCACTGCATGAATACCTTCACTTTTGCAGCTCCTGCCGTGGAAGCCTAACCCGTGACTCCCACCTTCACTGTTGGCATGGATGCCCCTGCACCCCCAGCCTCTCCAGGCCCCTTGTGCAAAGCTTCGGCCAGAAGAAATCCATTTACACCCCTCTGTGTTTTGGAGGCTTTGGCTGCTGTGGCTGCAGGCTCCATAACCTCTTCCAAGTAGCACAGTAGAGGGCAAAGCGCTGCTCCGGCAGCGGCTTGTGCCATTTACAGCAGAAGATGATGAGAAGAACTTTCTTCCATGAAATGACCTTCCAGCCAACAGCTGCTGGCTCATGCTGGCAGACGTGATGGAGGGGAGGATGCTGGAGGACCACAGAGCATGGAGCTCAAAAAAGGGGCCCTTCTGCTCCGACACCCCTGAGCACCTCCTTTATACACATCTCAGAAGTGGGGCTTGGTCAATGCAGATGAATAATTTGGGGTTTTCTTGGGGTTTGCCTTGCCTGGCAGCAATTTGCAGGTTTAAATATGCAAAACAATGCATAACACTGAACATTTGTGAAATCCTGTGGAATTTTACTGTTTTTAAATCGCTTGGTTTGCATACTCAGCTTGGAGGATCCCACGGGCTGGGTTTTGTGAGGATTCTCCTTTTGTTTGAGTTTGTCCACCTTCCTTACATTAATTACAGTTTAGCAAGTGGCCTTAAGCGTATCTCCCGCTGTCAAGGACACATAGTAGAGGAATGTTGTGTTGAACAGCAAATTGTAAGTGATTTTTCCTGTATCTGTTCTGTCGATAGTCGTTCCCTTCACGAAGGACAGTGTGAGGCACAGCCCAACGCTGGACGCTGGGAACCACAGAGTGGACCAGACACGTGAACTTCCTTGCTGTGATACGAAAGGGTGAAATACTTCTTTTTTATAAATAACCCTCCACACACCACCCGCAGCTAAAGACCATAACTGATGGGGCAGGATTCATCTCCTCTAACATTTGATGCTAGATCCACTGAGACAGGCATGTCTGAGCTATTGCTCTCCAGAGAGTCTTTTGCTTATTTGTTGAGTCCAAGAAAGTCTAAAATCATAGAATCATGGAATGGTTTGTGTTGGAAGGGACCTTAAAGCTCATCTAGTCCACCCCCTTGCCCTGGGCAGGGCCACCTCCCCCCAGCCCAGGTTGCTCCAAGCCCCGTCCAACCTGGCCTTGAACACCTCCAGGGATGGGGCAGCCACAGCTTCTCGGGGCAACCTGCCCCAGGAGCTCACCGCCCTCACACTCAACAATTTCTTCCCAATATCTCATCTCAATCTCCCCTCTTTCGGTTTAAAACCATCACTCCTCGTCCCATGGCTCCCCTCCCTGATCCAGAGTCCCCCCCCAGCTCTCCTGGAGCCCCTTTATGCACTGGAAGGGGCTCTGAGCTCTCCCCTTTTTGGCCTTCTCTTCTCCAGGCTGAACCCCTCAACTCTCCCAGCCTGTCCTCCCAGAAGAGGGGCTCCAGCCCTCTGAGCAGCTCAGACTCAGATGCCCAAATTTAGAGGAATAAGTTAGCATAGCTGTGTCTTCTCATTAAGTTTTTGGCTTTGATTGTGTAGGACACATCGAAAAATGAGACCCGCGTGGAGAAGACAATAAATAGCTTAGAAAATAGGAAGTTCAACCACAATGCTGTTAACTGGATGATTGTTAATTGTTTAATTGGAAACAGTGGTAAACTCGGTCTTGGTGGGCAGACTGTGAATGCAGCAGCAACCGGTATCCTGCAAAAATACCTTGTTAATGCAGCTGCTGCGTGGCTACTCTCTGTTACTATCATTTATATCTGAGCACGTAATTAAAACCCTTGGGATACCTCAAGGCAAATAGAAAAGATTTATTGGAGTTGCTTGACAGACGGGGAAGAAAAGGCTGATAAGTTTAATATATTTGCTGAGAGCCTCACAGTCCCTCAGAGGTGGAGCCACAGTTACATCCCTGTCCTTGTGGCTTCTTGCCAAAGGCTCTTTCAAAACAGAAAGGCGAAGGGTTTCATTTCAGGTGATTTGAAAGAAATGGGTTTCCCCTGCTATTATGCCATACTAATCCTTAACTTTTTCAGTGGGCTCAAACCTTGGTCAGTGTTTTTTTGGCGATTAAACATTTAAGCGTTTCAAACTCCCAAGAAACGAGATAGCATTTCACGTGCTCGTTTCTTTCCTTGGTTTTGCAGGGTTTTTTTTTTTAATACATTTTTTTTTTTCACCCCCCTGGGCTCATTGGAGGGCTCTTTCACCACCTTGCGCAAGGCGGCTGATGACAAACAAAACTGGTTACCAGAAACCTTGCTGGTATTCTGTCTCCAAGAGTGGCTGATGCCAAAGGTTTCCTTGTACCTCATTATTTGCAAATGTTCTGTGCTGGAACAGCTTGCCCTTAGCCCAGCAAGAGAGATAATTGATGGTATGAAGTAGCTGGAAAGACAACTAGCTTAATTGCAGGTTCTTGACAGCACTATCAATTACACCTACGCACTGAAGAGCAGGAA